CCCAGGTCCCTGATACTTACAGGACAGGGTCCTTTTTCTCGTCCTACAAGCTGTGTGCAAGCTGCTCCTGGAGTGGGTGTGGGACTGCCTGTCATGGGTCTGGAGGCTGAATGATGGGTAGTTCCTTCCAAGCTAAGATTGAAATTGACCCAAGTTACAAGCCTTCAATAAACTCTTAGAGTTCCAAAATAGGTACATCAGACTGATTCTGTCAGTGCAGTTGTTGTCTAGGTGAGGAGAGAGATTCCTGGTGCTTCCTACTCAGCCATCTACCCAGAATCCTCTCCTAATTGGCTTCGTTTTTATCAGTATTATTATTTTTAATGGTCTGTAATATAGGATAGCTAAGGACCACATTGAAAGTGCTTATTTATTTTCAACATACACTTGACAGATGTTTCTTTCCTTCTTTAATCTTTTTTAGATTAGAGTTGTACAATCATTATGTAATGGCTACACATGAAGTGAACATGTTTCATTTTACCTTGTGGGCAGATACCCTTTTCACATGACTTAAAAATAATGACAAACTTAAATCATTAGTGGTCAGTTATAGTAAAAATAAACTGAAGTATAAGAAGTGAAACATTCTATATGGATTAACAGAATAGCATTTGATTAAATAGATTTAGTTATGGAAGTACCTACAAAGAGTTGAGAACATCAATTAAGCTTGCAAATAAGATCAAATAAACTGAATATGTAAGAGAGTTATCTCTTTAAAGATATCTGATTGGAAATATTACAATTAATGTTAAAATTAAATTTCTTAAAAAGTTTAATCTCTTGATATTTCCTTATTCTATTGAAGCCTTTTGAATCCCTCAGAGATAAAGACAAAAATGATTATTAAAGGGTTTATCTGCAAGTATTGTAGGAAAGTATAAAAAAAAAAAATCAGAATGTAAAGCAACTGTTGCAAGTGCCAGAAAATTATGCTATTAATTTAAGTGTCATCAGAGCACAAAAGATCACATTTTGGGACTGTGAGAAAATTATTAAAATACTGGAAATAATAGTACTTAAGATGAAGATATTCTGCTCTAAGATCTGGTTAAGTGACTGACATTATTATATCACTTCAGGTATTATAAAAGTAACAAAATGCTTTTAAAGATAATAAGCATTACATTTTGAGATTGGCAGTGTTCACACTTTTCTGCTTAAGTGCTTTCCTAGTTTAACATAATTTAATAACAGTTATGGTAGAATAGCTAACATCTTAGTTCCCATATATATCTTTTCTCCTCCAATATATACACATTTTAATATATATATATATATATATATATATATATATTTAAATACATGTATAGAAGTGATACAGTTTCATTCTCTGAGTGGTTTTATGAATAGTTACTCTTCTGTCTTTGTCTTTGCTGTTAAAAATGTTGCTGTTTCGTAATTTTTTTAAAGCTTCTGATGGTTGAGAAGTGCTGTAAAGAAGGTACTGCTATGTAGATCCATTACTGTCCAGAAATCAAAATGAGTGCTTTTTTAAAACATCTTTGTTGAGGTATAATTGATATATAATAAACTGAACATATATAAAGTGTATGATTTGGGGAGTTTGGCAAATGTTTCCACCCCTGAAATCATCTTCACAATCAAGATAACAAACATTTCCATTACACTCAAATTTTCTCCTTCCCCTTTATAATCCCTCCCTTCTCTCCCTCTTGTCTGTCCCAGACAACTGTTCTGCTTTCTAGAATTTCATGTAATTCTATGTATTGTGCTTTTTCTATGTCAGGTTTCTTTCCTCAGCATAATTAGAGAGTCATCCATGTTGTAGCATGTAGTTCACCCCCTTTATGCTGAGTAGGGCGCCGTTGCATGGATATACCACATAGTGTCCATTTCCCTGATGATGGACATATCAGTTGTCTTCAAAATTTGGCTATTAGAGATAAACTGCTGTGAACATTATGTAGATGTCATTATATGAATCATATGCTTTCATTTCTCTTTGGCAAATACCTAGGAGTGGAATGGCTGGATTGTGTAGGAGGTGTATGTTTAACTTTTTAAGAAGCTGCTAAACAGTTTCTAAAGTGGTTTTGCATTTCCAACGTTTCCAACAAGAGTTTTTTGAGAACTCCTATTTCTTTACATTCTTGCTGACATTTGGTATGGTCTTTTTTATTTTAGCAATTCTAAGAGGTATCTTGTCATTGCTCATTGTGATTTTAATTTGCATTTTCTTAATGACCAATGATGTTGAGCATATTTTCATGTGCTTATTGGTCATCTACATAGCTTCTTTGGTGAAGTGACCACAAATATTTTACCTAAAGACTTAAGTAAATTGAGATATGTATCATATTAATGGGTTAGAAGACCTGGTATTGTTAAGATGTCAGTTCTTTCCAAATTGATCTGTAGAATCAATGCATTCCCAGTCAAAATCCCAACAGATTTTAAGAAACTGACAAAATGATTCTAAAATTCATATGGAAATATAAAGAGCCTAGAATAGTACAAAACAAAACAAAAACAACAACAATAACAAAAAAGAACTGAAAAAGAACAGAGTGTGAGGACTAATACCATTTCTTAGCCTGTAGTTTGTTTGTAGAATGTAAAAAAAACCCAAAACTCTAACCATTTCTCTAATTAGTACTAGCATGTTTCAAGAAGAGTTTAGATTTAACATACAAACAATTCACATTGGATATTGACTCTGTGGAAAGCAGACCACTGATTTCTTTCACTAAAGATACATCCTTTAGCCACGGAGCTTCTAAGAACTTCTTTACCGGCCTATTTGCTGGGTATGCTTCATAAGAAAATGTGACAGCTTTTAAGATTTTTTAGAATAATGATACGACCTAGTCTTCTGATGGGTTATCTTATTTGTTAAACACGAACAAGGATTAACCAACCTGACCTTTCCCTGCTTGAATATCGGGGTGCTTGATTCATGCATGCCTTCTAACATAAAAATCGGCAAGCACTGCCAACATATACTGAGTGCGCTTCAGCATTATGAAGCTAGTCGGGAAACAGAAGCAGCTTTTTAAAAAGCTTTTTTTTGGTTAAGGTCTTGATTTGGTGATCTTTGACCAGACTTTCTAATGGCTCATGATCTCAAGGTTTAAAAGCTAAATTTATCACACTGACAAACTGTTCAAAAGTCTTTTTGGTTGTGTCTCGTCAGAAATTTTCAGGGAATCAACACAGGGGTCCCACATACAGACTTTTCACTGCGATGCCCGTGTATAGAGCCGCCCAGGCGTTCTGATGTCAGTGCAGAGAATTAAGTGTCTTAGGTGAACCTAATAGTAGATTGATCTCTTAATATCTTTGTGCCTGCTCTTTTCAAATCATATGAAGATGTCTGTTTTTTTCCTCAAGATTAATACATTCTTTTTCTTCTTCTGACCTTTGCTTTTCACATAGGAAGATTGGACTCCATATCAGAGTGATCTCCCCTGTGAAACGTAGCTCTTCCAATTTCTGGTGTTTAGTCTGTGCCTTTTTTTTTTTTTTCCCTGTTACAGTCCTAGCCCACATCAAAATAGATCAAAAGATAGATCGATAAAATAACCTGTTTGTGGTTGAGATGCCTTCAACATGGGCCCTTGCTGCAAATCTTGGGATGAAGTAGGATAGAATATAGAATGCACTTTTCACACCTTGTTTTATATTTTCTAATTTTCTCTGGCTTTCTTCATATTTCTTTGACATTATAAGGAGAAGAGTTGTTTTACATCCTGTCCTCCCCTCTCCCACGACAGCCAGGCTTAGTGGGGAGGCTTCCGATTCATTCTTTTGGTTTCTGGGATAATTGTCTTCTACATAAGACAGTTAATTACTTTAGGGACACCAAGCTTTTTGTGTGTTTCTTTATGTTTTTTTTAATGGTAATTTCTGTTGTCTTCTCCAGTTTTTTTCTGTCTTATGTTGTTGTTCCTCTATTTCATTTCCTTTCATCATGGTGCTATGTCTACTCATATGTGCCAAAAAAAAAAAAAAAGGATGGCGTTTTTCTTTGATTAGTAAATTATCCAGTTGTTTAAGCTATATAATTGCTTTGCTATTTCTGCTAGGAATTTGTGGTTCCAAACCTATTCCAAAACTCACAAGTTTTGGAAGGCTGAAATTTATACATATATTTGAGAAAATAATAGTAGTTGTATAATGCATCTTTGACTTTTCCCCTAAATACATGGGGATGTAAAATATAATCCAAATGTTTTGATTCTGATATTTAGTTCATTAGATTAAAGAAGAAATAATTACTGTACATTAAGCCATACATCATTAATGAATAAATATATGTAATTTGAATTATAAACTCTGTTTATAAGTAAGATTCGGAAGTAAATGGGAGTACAGTATAGTAATCAACATCTTGGAAGGAAATGTAGGTACTATTAAGAGGACATAATTACCTACTTTATGGATTTTCAAACAGTTATGTTTAGAATTCTTGACTTTTAGAGGTGGAAGTCACCTTAGAAGTTTATCTAGTGTGCACTCACATTTATAGATGCAATGTTAAGGCTTCTAGAGGCTGACTGTGTCCTGGCTAATATCAGATACTTCAATACCATCAAGATTAGAGTTGAGTCCTTCTGGAGAACTCGGTGCTTTTATCTTTGTATCAGAGATCCCAACATTGTCTTGACACGTAGTTGAAATATTAGTTTCATTGAATTAAGTATATTTTTCACTATATTGTGCATATCATGGAATGAAAGGATGGCTAACAGATCATTTATATCTATTTCTACATATGCTTTTTATAATTTACAAATAATACATGTTATTATAGGAAATATGGAAGAGTACAAAGAAGAAAATAAAAATTGTCAAAAAGGTTAATATTTTTATTTTTCAATTACAGTTGACATAAAAATATATTAGTTTCAGGTGTCCAACATAGTGATTAAATATTTATATAACTTACAATGTGATCACTCCAATAAGTTTGAGTATCCACCTGACACCTAAATAGTTATTACAATATTATTGACTATATTCCCTTTGTGGTACTTTACATCTCCATGACTATTTTATAACTGCCAATTTGTACTTCTTAATCCCTCCACCTTTTTTTAATGTTTAAAACTAATTTACTCAAGTCACAAATAATACTGCATGTAACTTGATAACTACAACAAAATGTTTTCACACTCAAATTGTACACTATGGTCAATATATATTACATACAGTAATAAAGTTGTACATACATATCTTCTTATATTAGTAATTACTATGCCATACATATAGTATAAAATTCATAAAAATATGTTTTTAGAAAAGCCATTCTTGAGAATATGCATAGTCTAGTGACAATCAAAAAGGAACTCTGTTAATATTGATGGAGGTGACAAAATGTGAAGCAGAGTGTTGACTCTTATTTACTAGAGTCTAGATTTAGCTGAAACAGCTTAAAATTTCTAAATTGAGTTGTATTTTAAGTGAAAGATTATCTGCTATTGATAGCGTCGTATGACTCATTCATCTTTCATCTATCTTTTCGCAGAGCTCCATTATAAGCATTCACAGTCAGTTTTTGGCAGCATTGGAATCATTGAAGGCCTTCTGGGATGTTATGGATGAAATCGATGAGAAGACTTGGGTACTTGAGCCAGAAAAACCTACACGGAGTGCAACAGCACGCAGAATTGCATTAGGTCAGGAAATACAGGATTAATGAGCTTTTTTATTTTTTTTAGGTGTTTACTTTGTTATTACTTAGGAAAATGAATCTCAGAATGACAGTGGGATCTTAGCTGAGACTTTTCTGCATGAAATCAACTATTAAAACTTTTCAACTATGATTTATTTTATTGCTCTGTATTTAAATGTAAATATTTCAGGTGAAAAGGGCAAGTACTGAGGTGTTTCATTATAAAAGGTTATGATCCAATGGAAGTAGCATTCAGAGATAGTATTTAATTAGCTTTTAATTAGCACAGAAACAGTGGAGCAGGTTTTTTTAAAACTTACATAACTTAGGAAAAAGAACTATGTTAGAAATAATGAAGCCTTCATCAGTGAAACTAGAGATTATTGTTAACAAATCTAGGAATATTTTCTGACAAAAATATGGATAAAGAACCTGAAGTGGGCGATGCATGCCACTGAAGAATAAACAAAAAGCACAAAATAACACGTAATATATTTGAAGTATTTTCATTATAAATATATGAAATTAATGTTAAAACCATAAATAGCATTCTTTAAATATTATATAAAAATGATTGTTTTATGTATTTTCATTATGAGCAAGCAAAAGTTTTCGAGTTCTGCCTCAAGATTTTAGATGTTTTAAACTATATTTGAGTTCACACTAAATTATGTAGTAGATGGTTAGATGATACCTATTTATATCTTGCCTCCCTTTTTTCCTAGCTTAAGTGGATATGTTAACAGTCATATATTCCCAAGGGCATTCTGAAATTCTGGTGTGAATCATATCCCAATTAGTGAGCAATTTTTATAGTTTTCACCCAGACAAAATAGATTACCTGGGGAAAAAGTGACATATTACTATGAGAAGAGGAAAATATAATTGTGCAGCAATTCTACAAATAGTATTGTTATTTACCCAGTTTGTTAAAGTCTAACAGTATTTAATTTGGAATAATTAACCAAATTGTGGTATATTTGTGAACAAGTATCTAATAAGAATAAAAATACTTTCTTCAAAGAAGTGTAGGAAGTTATTTTCATGGGCCTATTAAAATAATTTTTATCAGGTTATAAACATACCTCTTATTATATTTCTCATTGTTCAGCATAAAAAAAACCTGGTTTTTAATTCACTGTTTACCTTTTCGCTCCTTTTTTTTTTTTTTTTCCACTTCAGGCATTGGTTTGCCTTTTTAAGACCAAGATTTTAGCAAATTAATTGTAAGATTAGTTAATATAGCCATTGTTGTTCAGTGAAAGTACTTTCTGGAGTCATTAGCAGATGACATTGCTAAAGGCTATGTGGAATTTGTGTTTGTGGTAAAGAATGGTTTAACAAATGAAATGATAAGTTAACTTTTTGTATTCCTCATTGAATGACTTGTAGTCATTTATTTTATTTGATTACCTTTTTTGCCAGATCTGTAATAATTGTATTTATATTGTTGCCAACCTTAGCCAAAGGCTTAGACTCTAGTGTATAGAACTTATCAAGACATCTGTACCATAAAAATGAAATTTAAATTCACCTTAAACAATTACACTGTGCATCTTCAAAAAATAGTAAAATTTCTGAAATTTGTACTGTACTCTAGTACAGTTAAAGTTTATAAAGAATCTAGTACCAAGTAGAAAGTATTTTTTGTAGATTGTGTAAGCAAGGTTACTTGTTTTTGTTATTACATGAAGTTTCCAATATAACAGGAATTGAACTCGTCATTAACGTATAGGGGAAAACTTCACAAGGAGCGAAAGAATTGTAAAAATTTCATAAAACTCAAATCTTAAGCATGCTTACTTTTACTATTCATTATATTTCCAGCCTATACTTTTGACCATAGTTGTATTACTTTTCAACAAAAGTCATGAAAAATAATTTAGATTAATATTTCTTAAACTTGTGGTTTATGGTTTTTTTATATTAAAGATCTTTATCATTCCATAGAATTCTTTATTTAAATTTTAATGGCATTCTGACCAGGATTCCAATGTTAATTATATTAACTTATGGATTGCCTCTGTTTTTTTAAACTTAGGATCCCCAAATCTTTAGTCATAATCATAATTTCAGAATTTACTTCTTTTGATTAAACTGTAATACAGTGAAATATTTATGACAATTTATAAAACATTTGGTTACTCTTGTGTATACAATGAAATAAGTACCCAGCCAGATACTCCTTTATTTTTGTTTGATTAACTGTTCTACTTTTAAAAACTTTAATATTCTTTGATTCTAGGGAATAATGCTTCAATAAATATAGAGGTAGACCCAAGGCATCCTACTATGCTTCCGGAGTGCTGCTTTCTTGGAGCTGACCATGGTGTGAGATCTCAGATTTAAATGTTTCAGCAGAATTGTAAAATCCTTGTTTACTGCTGTTAAAATGTTAATCTAAAATATTAATGGTAATTATTTTAAATGAATATCCCATCGTTTTGAACTCTGTACTTTTGTGTTTTTTAAAAATGATCTATTGGGTTGTTGGAAAAGTCATGACGCATTTTTGCAATGAAAAACAGAAAAAATAAATCATGACTTTTCCGACAACCCAATAGAATTTCTAATTAAGTAGTTAAGAAACAAATTCTATAGTTAATAGTACTGTATTGTATATTTCAAAGTTGCTAAGAGAGCAGATCTTAAGTTCTCGTTACAAGGAAAAAAAACTACTTGTGGTGATGAATGCTAACTAAACTCGTAATTATTTCACAGTATATACATATACCAAATCATTATGGTGTACACCTAAAACGAACAGTCTTATATGTCAAAAAAAAAATTCTGCTCCAAATCTGGTTTTACAAAATGAGAATAGCAAACCCTGAATTATTAAACTTTTTTTTTTACTTAAATTTCTGAAGTGGTGAAACCCCTGGGAATTAAGCTGAGCAGAAACATACATTTGTGGTAGGTATCTTTGCAATAGAATTGTTATTTTTCTATGATTTTACCAATTTAATAACAGAAAAAAATTTTTTCATGCTTTCAGGGATCCAGAAAATAGCCTGTTACAAAATTTGAAAGATGTTTTAGAAATTGATTTTCCAGCTCGTGCCGTCCTGGAAAAATCTGTAAGTTTTTTTTTAGTACTTTGATATTCCAAACAACATTGCTTAATGGAAGTTAAGTGTTCTTTTAAGCACAGAGAAAAATGAGACTGAAAGTAAGGGAACTGGAAGAATATTCTAACAGGCTTCTGAATTGCAAGCAACAGTTGTATCAAAGAACTTGTTAACCTTTGATTGGCGGTTATAAGTGTACTTTTTTCATAGCAGTAAAGTGATTAATGACAGACATCTTTATTATTAAAAATAGGGTAAAGGTCCAAAGTAGCTAATGAGATGTTTGGATTTTCTATACACTCTGCATATGGATGACTGAAATAAAGTTCTAATTAGCTTGATGTAAGCATTGGTGAGGGATGGCAGTGTGGTTTTGAGAAACTGAATAGATATCACTACACTGCAAAATTAATAAACTTAAAATTGATTTTTGACAAAGCTGCTTTCTGACAAAGCTGCTAAGGTGTAGACTTTTAGAATGGTGGCAATGTTTGTTTTTTTTTCCCTTTAGTTACAGAATTTTGAAGTTTACTTAATAATCACTAGCTAGTTTCAGTTCCTATCTGTACATACTACAGTGGCATTAATTGATGTACACTATGGGACAATTACTTAAGCCTTAACATCTTGTGAGCCAAAAATAGAATTTCTTTTGCATATCTGCATGTATAATTAGATGAAAAAGGAAGCACTCTCATACAAATAGTTTTTAAGTGTTACATAGTAGTGTGACTGCATTTTCTGTAATATACCAATCTAGTTACCTTTATAAAAATTGTATTTATAAAAATTTAATATTGTCTATACTACATTAGTCATTCCTTCTTATCCCATCTTGTATGTTTTAAACACACATGCTTATGAATATTTCTTCTGAAGGATATTTCTATGGATTGTGGAATTTGTTATGCGTATCAACTTGATGGTGCCATTCCTGATCAAGTGTGTGACAATTCCCAGTGTGGACAGCCATTCCATCAAATATGCTTATATGAGGTAAGGATAAAATAAAAATAGCATCAGCAGGACTTGTTGCAGCTAACACAGCATAGGAAGTATGTGTATTTGAAATATTTAGTATTACCAGTTCACTCCAGATGTCCACATGCTTCATTTCTTCATCATGGTTTCTCATGAGTGAAGCAATGTCCCAAAGTAACCAAGAAGGGGGAAATGTATCCAGAATACACTCATGGACTGCTTACTGACACATACATTAAATTGATGGTACATTGGAATCTTTCAGTAAATACCTCATGTAACCACATGCAAACTGTAGACTCATCTAAGTGGGAGTAGTGGTGGCAATAGGGTGAAAGGAACTAGCACTGTGGAGTAGATTACTTTTCAGGCTTAAGTAGAGAATAAATGCAAGAATCCCACTATTGATCTTGAGAAGAACACATTTTGTGGTCTGACTATCTTGCAGCACTCTGTCAATGACATTTTATTTACTATTTGTGAAATCTGCTTTCATTCCTGTCTGAGGTCATTTGCTCTCTGTAGCGTTCATCTTAGGGTACAGTTGACATGAAAAACTGTGCATCTATATACAAAAACACCTTAGAATTGTATAGTTCTTTCAATTTTCAGTCTTCCTTAATATCACTACCTGGTGTTTGTGATTAGACATAGTAGTTGGTGCTCTCTGCACTTTAACCGGGGAGAAATGAGGTAGAGATGTCTGTCAATTCACCGTATAGAATCATAAAATAAGAGGTCTTAATTATAGGGATACTCATAAGGGAATATATTCTTTTGTAATAATGAATGTTTAATTTTTAAAAATGAGCTGCCTCATGCTTGTAATTAATGGTTGGGTAGTAACCCACTATTGGTGATTAAGACCTAAAATTTTAAGAGCCTATGGTATCTTTTACTGCAGAAGTTCTTCATGTGTGATGAATGGATATAGGTTAGGTCTGAACCCTGTAGATCTGTATGCATTGTTTTGGGGGTAGAAAAGGTGAATGATTTTCATCAAATTCTTAAAAGGGCCCCTAATTTGAAGTCCATGCCGGTTTCCCCTTGTTATTCAGCATTATCTGTAGTCAAGGAAATTAAGAAGGTAAATCTTCTGGAATAAAAATATAAAGTACTCAAAAAGTAAGAAAATGGTTTTTGGAGTATCTGTAATCATGTTAACACTGCTCCCTTTCTTCTCTTCTTTTTTAAAATCTTCAGTGGATGAGAGGACTACTGACTAGTAGACAGAGTTTTAATATCATGTTTGGTGAATGTCCATATTGTAGTAAGGTAAGCAAATTATTAATCACATTCATAAAATGTCCTTAGCTTTTTTTTTTTTTTTTTTTAAGATTTTATTGGGGAATCAGGGAAGG